TTTTTAAGATAATTCGAAAAGTACTGGTTATTGTTTGATGACTATGCGGCTTACGTTAATCTCATAATGTTCACATACTCCTATTTATTTCGTCGAAATTGGAAGAGGTCGTATTTTTACGTACGAATAGGTAAATTTGAAATACCGGATGCTCAGAGCGAATGTATCAAAATTATTTTCACAAAAAAATTAAAAACAGTGAGGACACGTGTCGAATAACATTTTTTTGCCAATCGAACGGCGTGATTTTTTTTTTTACGGGGTCAAATGAAGAAAAAAGTGTTTTGGAATTTTGAGTGAATAATGATTTTAGGAGGATGGGGGGGTCTATTAACGAGCCCACCCTTCTAAAGGATTAATAAATTGATTTTTTTCGAGAACAGAAAATTTTTAAAATCGGTTTGAGCGGTTTTGGGTGGTGCGGAATTTCTTAAGAATATTATCGAGCCTCTTCCACACCGTATGGTACGTCGGGCGCGAACGAACGGGATATAAAATCGGAAAAAATATATTTTCGGACATTTTTGGTGAAATTATGATATTCATGATTTTAATAGCTACTTGATGAAAGAAATTACAGATCAGGATTGTCTATGGATGTATAAAAGATTTTGTGCATAAGCCACATTTTTTTCAAAGATTTTCTTTAATTAAAAGGGCTAGACGTGTTGAATTTCTAATAATTGTTTTTCGTAAAAATTATTTTATTACATTCGCTCTGAACACCCGGTATTTTCATATTTACCTTTTCGTACGTAAAAAGTTACGCCCTCTTCCAATTTCGACGGAGTAAATGGGAATATGTGAACATTATGAGATTACCGTAAGCCGCATAAGCATAAAACAATAACCAGTACTTTTCGAATTATCTAAAAAATAAATTATTTTTTCGAAATTTTACAAGAAACAAAAAATACTTAAAAATGATTGAACACTTGAAGAAAAATAGATAGGAAGTCATTTGCGCACGTACAAAAAAAATATGGGGGTAAGTGTGTACTTGACCCCCTGTATATTGAATATTTGACAGTTATTTTCTGTTTCGTTTTCCTCACACGATGTAACTATTTGTGCTGAAGTAATGTACCAATTTTGAGATTGATATCTTATTAAATACGCGAGTAATTAGAAAAAAACAGATTTTAATTTCCAACTTTGACACCCTGTATATCGAATATGAAGGGCTAAAATGGAAAATGGTATCTAGAATCTCATATTGTTTTTGTTCAAGGAATATATGGTTAATGGATTGACCTCCTTTTAGCGGACACCCTGTATATCTGAAAAAAACGCACAGATTTACATCCTTATTACTCATTTCAACAATATCATTTACGTTTCTGTGGCATCTCTCATCTTTTCATTTTACATCCAGTCATTTTTATGTGATATTCATGAATTCTAGCTAAAAATCAATTGAATGGTCTTGAGTTGAAATAATTCATCGCCCAAACATTTTGATTGTGTGAACATTGAAAATACGATTTTTGAAGTACAGCAATTCACATTATATTGCTGAAATTGCTAGTCGTGTCACGAGGCAGTATTTCATGTGAACTGACAAATTTTGTGAACCAAATATATTTACTTGTATTATTTATGTATTTAAGGTAAACAGCATTTTAGATGTAACTACTGTTCACTTATGTTGTCTGACTTCATTTTTTAATATTTTGTTGTGAAGACGGTATAGTAGGAGATGTTTCATAAACGTACAATTTGTAATAGTTGTATTTGATAAAAAAATTTGAAAAATTGTGGCAGAAGCATTTCTGATGTAAAGTGGAATAAAAAGAAGTAGTATTTTATATTCAATTTTTTTTTTAATAATTTTTCTTTGATCATATTTCGATCTTGCAATATTTATGTTTATTATCCAGATTCAGATTCTTATCATAATTGGGCAATTCCTAGTATCTGAAAGCACTGTACAGGGTGTTACTATGCTACCATTTTATTGTAAATGTAAGTATAGGTGTATCCCTGCATAGTACATTGAAAAAATGTACTGTTTACAATGTTTTCCAATATTAGATTCTCTCTTAGTTGAATTTAGTGTTCTAAGATAGAATGTAGATAATTGCAACTTTTTGTGGGGCCTGTTTTGTGCTCAGTTTTTGTACATATGATATGGCCCCAACTGCCGACTGCTGCATAAAGGGCTTGATCTCTTAATGTTACTTATTTTTACATTCAAAGCTCTTGATCCAATCAAATCTAGAAGTTTTTCGGTTGAGATTTTTTCCTTCATTTTGTGGATCTTCCTCGGGAACTCGCAAATTTTAACTAACTGTTTACTTCTAGCAATGATGTGATTGTATGTAAGTTTAAGTCATGTTTATATATCATACTAATAGGATTTAAATAAATCTTTCTTTATTAACTTCTTTCATTTATTTTCACTTTTCCAACTCATCTATCACATTAGCAGGGGAAATTTTTTTTTCACGTTTTCTAACACGTCGAAAAAAAAAAGCATAATAATATACAGTGTGACCAAGCATGGGGATCAATTTTTAACACCGAATGATCAGAAATAAATGGAACTGGTATTTGCTCTTCGGAATTTTGAAGAAACTTCGAATTCAGAATGAAAATGTTTGCAGAATCTGTGGACACATAATCAGGACCGTATTTGCGCAACAATGGCCTAAGCCCACTTCTTTGGATACTAAATTATTTTGTGGTGTGTATATTTGAAATTTTCTCATGTTTTTTTTAGGAACAAAATGTTGGTTGAGGCCACTAATGATTTTTAAATTCAATAAAAAAATTATGTATTGTGGGTTAAGTATGCTGGGATGTTATAAAAAACATAATAATTGAGAGTTTTGATCCATTCATTTGACTATGGATAAAAATAGTTTTTGTCTCGTTCCTCTGAAAATATTTCTTCTGCGTCCTCTAACATCCTCATTTCATGATAAGGGGATCAGCTCCACAAGACCTTTTTTTTGTGTCGATGGTTTCCCTTTTGGGATACAAGGTCTCAAGTTCGGTGGATCGACTCGTAATAACACAATTCAAAAAATGTTAAAAAATGTGAATAGTTTGTTGATGTTGAGGTGGATTTCAACTAATGGAGTTCATTGTTTCTCTCGTATCGACCTATGCCCGTGATTGAGAATTCTGATACAACAGTGCCTATATACCTTCAGACGCAAAATATGTGGACCCCATATACTGATACCAAATGATCGACTTCAAATAACACTTGAAAACACCTAATAAACACACTTTCTAGCACTTTTATTGACTTGCAAACAATGCAAATTATTTGTTTTCTTGCTAAAAAGAAGTAGAGTTCTACTGTCCTAAAGCCACAGAAAATGCGGGTTAGGCCAGTGTCGCATTTACTTATCCACCAAAATATTGAAATGAATAACTGCATATGTTGCTCCCATCTCATTACAATTAAATGAGGTTGTTTGAGCCATCGTTGCATGGAAGTTTATCTTGTGAAGATTAAAAAAAAAACAGCAACAGATCATCTGAAATTTGTGGCTTATGGTTCTACGAATATAAAAGGTCGCGTAGAGAAAACAATATCACCACGTTAAATCTCTTCAAAAGTTGTTCACCTTATCACCTTATTTTCATCTATATTAGGAATATTTTAAGATAGGCTTTTTCGGGTTAGCGCACGGAAAAACATTGAGTATAACCATAGAAACGAATCATACACGCCAAACACTGTTTTGTCAGCATCGTTTATTCTCTGTCACTCAAAGTTATGCCGACAAAATGAAGAAGAAAATCCTGAAATTCTCGATATTATCCTAGAGCAAGAGGTACATGCGACCGCGAATTTATTACCAGTAAAATCGAAGTCTATTATTAGTTCCAAGTTTTTTCATTCATACAACTGTGGAAATAAAAATGTTCCAAAAGTTTCTTGTGTGCCTTTTTTATGTAATATTTTATCATTATATTTTCATTTTCAACGAAGTATAATAAAAAATATCGTTCATTACTCGTCAAGAAATGATTTTTCTGTACTTGCATAACTTCCCGTGTGTAAGGCGAAGAATTTGTCACACGCGCACGGAAAAATCCTTATTCACAGACTCGTAATGAAATATACTTCTTCAGTTTTTCTGTAAGTATCTCCAATAATGACTTGGAAAAAAAATGATTTTCCAAAAATTCACTTCTTTCGATATAACAGAGGACGTACATCTGGGACGTACATACAAGACGTCCAGTATCGGTCGAGAGACGTCCATAGGATGTACTGGAGACGTCTGATGTCACAAGATGAAACGTCTGAGGAACGTCCATATTAGTCCCTAGTTTCGTATTTCATCGACATGAATACCATAATCAACGTAGATTCGCCTTTTCTCACTCAGATTGATGAAAAAGAAATCTTTACAGAGCAGAAAAAATCTTATTTTGGATACAAAATAAAAAGAAAAATCTCTTCCTACCAAGGACTGATCTCGAGATCTTTAGATTACCAGGCTCTGTATATACCGTTAGTTTGATTGCAGATGACCATCCACTTCTTTTGATTCATGACTTATGGGACACCCTGTATAGAAAATTCTTCGATATAATCTTCCACAACTCCAGAAAAAAGTCGCATAGTCATGAGGAACAATAAATTTACTGCACTTCGAGCTTGGACTATATTCCTTTGAAACAAAATTCAACGCAGGCAGAGATCGCAGGTAATTATAGAGAAAACAGTTTTTTCCTCCGAAAATATCGCAAAAAATTGTGGTTGTATGTTACATGTCTCTTATTGTGCCACCTGGTATAGGTATATAACTATATGAATTTCAAAAATACAACGGTATTTGGAAAATTAAATAGGCCAGTCTGTCAAAGTCTCGTAATGTATCAATAACTGTAACACCAATATTCATTAATTAACACTTCTTCTGTTTGACTAGACTTGTCAGGGTAGTGATATGTTGAATATCTTCTGTATTCATTCTTAGTTGATAAATCTACGTCAGTTAGATGGTTATCAGTTCAAAATGAACCTATGCGTAATGTTCATTCTTTCGGCGATAAATTTGATCGAAGGAAGAAGTTTATCAAATAATGACGCGTTATCAATTCATCAATACGCTAAAGTTGCCAAATGGGGCGCAAATGAGAATGTTACTAAAGTTCAACAAGGAAGAAGCAACTCAGGTCATGCCTTATGGCCCCACAAGTAAGTTTAAGAATACTCAAGAACTCTCCACAAAAATATCTACTAAAAAATTCAGGTGATAGGTACCTACTTTTCAGATCTTTGAATTCTCATTTACAAATGAAATTCGGTGTGTGAGTATAGTAAATAAATATGCATTATTTGACGTATTCAATTATTTTCGGTCACTTCCGGTTTGACCGGAAATGACCCAAATTTTCTTATTTCAAATGGGACACCCGGTATATTTTTGCATATTTCTATAGAGAATAGCATTGTGAGTACAATGACACCCCATTTGCTACTTTTTGACATATATCATCCTGAAATTTTCATTTTTCAATTTTTAATCTAGTGATTATGATATACCTACTGGATATTAATTTGAAATGTCGATTGTGTGGTATCAACGTGTTCGTAACAAAATACCTTTTCCAGATATGGTAATAATGAGCCGCCCTTGTTCTATTCGAAAAAATTGACTTAACATCATATAATTACGATATTGTGAATTTTGAATGAACCTGTGAAACAAATGAAAAGTAAAGATTCATCGAATTTATTTCTCCTAGGCAACATGATTCGAAATCAACTCATTCTTGACACTCTAGATTGCAAATTGAAAAATGAAAATTTCATGACGATAAATGTCAAAAAGTGGCGAATGGGGTGTCATTGTACTCAGAATGTTATTCTTTACAGAAATATGTAAAAATGTACATCCCATTCTAAATAAAATAACATGGGTCACTTCTGATCAAACCGGAAGTGACAGAAAACAATTGAATACGCCAAATAATGCATATTCATCTACTATACTTACACACCGAATTTCATTTGTTTATCTGTATAAGCTAAAATTTATAGGGGTGAGCCACTTTTGAGAAACACCCGGTATGGTGTAACACAATGGACATTAAACGAAGTCATTCAGCCTTTATCATTTGTCATACTTACTTACTTACTTACCTACATTATATAGGTTTTACATGCAATTATTTTTTTAAGCTTTGACAATCATTCATGTAATTTCAGGTCGGATGTGAATTTCATCCAAACTCAGAACTCCAAACCCACGGTGGTGAAGCAATTCCCTGTTTATATTAAGCCCCAATCAAGGCAGGACAGTGTGAAGGTAGACAACAATCCCGGAATAGGCGAGGTAATCCAGGACCGTTTCAACGCCAGACCAGCCTTCAGCTACACCCAAATACCTCCAAGAAACCAAGACAGCGCCACATACGGACCTCCAAAGCTATCCACGCCTCCTGCTGCATTTCCAGCTGTGTTCAACGTCGCTCCTGCTTCAGCCAGCTCGAATAAACCCCCTGTGGACTTATATACTTCCCCCTATAGTTCTTACAATCCACCGGACATAAAACCGGAGACCAATCAAGACTCTTACCCACCTAGTATCGACTCGTATGCTGCACCTCCTTCTGATGACTCGTATGCTGCACCACCTTCTCATGGTGATGGCCCAGAGCAGCTGCCACCCAAACCCACTTCGGCTACGCTTGGGCCTCCATTATCGCCAGACTTCGGACATAGTCATGTTAGGGAGGTAGATGTCTACCCTTCTGACCATGAGGACTACCAGATGCCCAAGAACGGTGGGGACATGCCCCCAGAACCACCGAAGAGCATAGACGATGTATACTATCCCCCTGATTTTCCTAAGGACCAACAGCAGATGAAGGCTGTTGACATGACGGCTGATCTTAATCCTCCCTCAGGTCCAGCGGCGTTCGACCACCATTTTCCGCATTACCTGTACGATAACCACCATTTTGACCACCATGTTTATGAGGAGATACCGCACCATACTACTACTGAGGCTACTGAGAAGCGTGTTAGTAGTACCCATTACAGTTACTACTATTTGGGAAGGAAGCTCTGGTACATTCCGCTGTACTTTAGCATATACTTTATGATATATGTTACGGCGCTTATTTTGAAATCTATAGCCAGGCATAAGGTGGAATTGAAGAACGAGTGGTCTACTTCGCATTCTAGAAGTGCTAGGCAGCTGAACTTGGGGTCATTGGAGACTGTTGATCATCTACATAGGAATATTACTGCTGCTCTGGATACTGCCCACAAATTGTATGACGAAATTATGTAATGGATGTTTTCAATAAATTATTAAATAACTCAGTTTTTTTCTTATTCCTCATTACAACATAGAATTGGTATCGAATTATTAGAACATGAACTGAATAATAAATAAGCAATTATTTGGAATACCTATGAGACAGGCATCGAAATAATTAGTGAAAACCAAACATTTTTTCAAACAACCTCGAAGAATAATCCTCAATAGGTACCTATAGTTAGTAATAAGGAACATCTTGAAAAGGAATATTCTCAGATATAATTATGAATATCAAAAAATGGATACATATATATAAAGAAATACATTGATAATTCGCATTCTCTATGAGATGAAAATATCAATTCTTTCTCGGTTTATTCAACAGAAAACAACTACTTTCCTGGCTATATGCAACGACGAACATTGAATTAGATCTATTGAACATACACGATAAGAATTTGAAAACAAATTATTCTGAAGTAGAGAATTTGCATTCTCCTTCATATAAAGATATATGCACATAATATGATTCTAAACATTCAACAGAAAACAACTACTTTCCTGGCTATTTGCCACGTTCGAACATTGAATTATATCTGTTGAACATCCAAAAAGAGAGCATGAAAAATGAAAATCCTCTGAAATTGAGAATTGACATCATCTCTCAAATTGAAATAATATGATGAATTATGATATGAAAAATATAACTTTTTTCCGTCGCATTTTAGAGTTTTTTAAATTCTATTTTGGAGTAAAATTGCATTGACTTTTTTATTGGTAGTTGTTGTGTGTACATTTCTTCAGATTCTACAAAAAACTAAATAAATTCGGGCAACTTCTGGCATTGAAATTCATTGTCTATTCAATATAATTAAAAAAAAATTCAAAAAATTGTGGAATTTATGGAAGCAGAAGCTCTCCAAAATGATTCATTTTATAAAAGTTCTCATTCTCAATTTGACTACATCACGATCGGTATGAACGTTAAATTATACCTAGTCAAAATGATGAAGAATTTAAAGATTTTGCAATCTTGTGGTCTATTATTCCTTGAAAATTCAGAGCTACACACGAAGTCTAAATAGGCGATTTAAGGTAAGTAAGTGTAGCAAAAGATACCAGAGTCATTTCAAACAATCATTCATATTTTTCATAAAAAATCATTGAAAATATTAAAAATTTCCGAGGATGAATTTCTCGCTCATTATATAGGGTGATTCAGGTTCGAAGGTACAAACTGGAATGCATGTTGAAAGTTCTCATTCTCAATTCGAGTATACATCACGACCGGTATGGCGCCTTAATAGACGACATAAGTTAAGTGTAGCAAAAGATAGCAGTGTCATTACGAACAATCATTCAAAAAATAATCGTTATTTCTTCATAAAAAACATTGAAGTTATTCAAAATTTTCGACGATGAATTTCTTGTTAAGTATACAGAGTGATTCAGGTTTTAAGGTACAAACTGGAATGGGTCGTGATAGATCTTATCAGTTTGATAAAATAAGTGTGTATAAATATATGTCCGATCTCGATCAGTAGCAGAGATACCTGGGGTTTAATTTTTTTTTCTATCAATTAAAATATCTCGCTCCTTTCTGAAAATATCAATTTGAAATTTGGTGCGGTAAATACTTTCTAGAAGATCATCGTATGAGGCATTTCAAAAATTTTTGAAATCCATGGGGTATTTATTACCTTGTAGGTTTAATAAATCTTTTAAATGCCCAAAATGATGATTTCCTTGAAAGTATTAACCACACTGAATTTCAAATTGATATCTTCAGAAGTGGGCCAGATATTTTAATTAATAAAAACAAATAATTAAAATTTGACCCCCTGTAGATATCCGCTTCTGATCGAGATCGGACTCATGTTAAAATAAAATTTCTTAATTGAACTGAACAATCTGTACCTCATGATCAAAAAAAACATGGAGGTGCAATTTGAAAAACCAAAGTTAAGTGTGGTTTCTGGTAGATTGTTCATCTTGAGGGTGATTCGCTTCAATTGTCTTGGAGAGCTTTTGCTCCCATCTCTTCCACGATTTTTTGATTGTGGATGACCCAGATATCTGCTGGACTAATAGCTCTGGGACTCCTGGTATACTCCTCCAAAAATCTCGTGTGCTCTTAAGAATCTCAAATTCATCTCGGAAGCCGTCGAAATGTTTTGGAAATTCAGGAATTTCATTTCCATATCCCTTATTTGAGTCACACATTTCATTCACATTCAGAGGAAACATTATGGATGAAGAATTTGGTGAATGCATATATACGCCAAAATAATCGTTCGCCATTTTTTCAAACCGCCTTTCGATTGCTCAAATTTGGTGGATACATAAAGACCAAAATTTTGGTTCGCCATTTACTGAATTCCGTCGGGTAGTTCTAGGTTCACCATTCAAGATATTCGAAATCATTTTGAAAATTGTATAGTTACTAGGTATTCCTTTTTCCCTCAGCAAGAAATCTTGAAACACCTCTTGGTCCTATTACTTCCAATTGATAAAGTTTGGTAATTGAATCTACGCCAAAATTGTTGTCAGCCATCTTAAATTTTTTTAAGATATGCGAGAAAATTAGTTTCAGAGAATTGTGTACCTACATTTGTTATTTTCGAACTAACGTACGCTAGATAGAAAAATTGAAATGAAAGGTACATATAAGTATGAAAATGAAATAAACAGAATGTGAAAACACATTTGTTTCATTTTATAAATATTCATATAATTTATTAACAGAATTTTACCAATGTAACGATTATGATTCTCCAGATAACGATGTGTAACCTGATTCTCTATTCAACCGATCCTGATGATGTTTCTTTCATTCGCATTTGATATAACGGTCTAGAATCATTCCATTTTTTCACATTCATTTTTGGTCCGCAAGAGTGGAATATTTGAAGTTTTTGGGGAATTGGTCCAAAGAATACAAGAATAAAATTATAGGTAATTGGAAACCAAATATTGAAACGAAAATAACAGTTTACTTTGACCCAATTTGTCGGTTGTTTGATTATGCTGGACGACTAGGTCCAATTTGGACTGCCAATATCGCTCTAAATACTGTATAAACAATATTTCCTTCACTCCAGATTCCAACAAACTGCCATGCACGATGCCACTAACAACTTGCTGTATATCTTATTTGATAATATAATTATTACTTTTGCATTATCCGTTAAACACACTATTGAATCTCAATCATCGTTATAGTAGTAATAACTCTATAATATAGTGCCATTCAAGATTTCGACCGAGTCACATATTTTTTCGTATACAGAGGTTCTATAATCATCACCCACCGATATCAAAAACTTAGCCGGGGGGTGATAGTCTATTCAACTTCGGTCCATATTTTCTACAGAGCTTTAACATGTATTATAAAAGTGACATTTTTCTCCAATTTGTGTTACTTACAGGCAGTTGTGTCTATAGTTTTACAACGAGTACGAGTGAAGTTACCACCCGAAGTACCATGGAGAACTATAATGTTGCTACAACTAAGCCAACTGATGCGGAAATTACTACCAAATCAAGGTGAGGATCGGAAATTCACCCCTGTGGAGCCACCACGGTCTCCAGATCTGAACACTGTTGAGCGGTCGAATTGGGGAAGCTGATTTTTGTTGTTGTTTTCCATAGGTATGAGCAAGGCCTTGAAGACTATGATGAAGCCATGGCGAATGCTAGACAGTCCAGAGGAATGTCGATGGATTTGGATTATCATCATGATCATCCAGAAGAAATAAAAGAGGAGAAGAAGGCGGTATCCAGTGATCCATGGGCCGGTTATTATGATTTCGTCATAAACGAGTGGTCTTTCAAGTTTTGGTCAGTTTTCCAGGTAGTTTTTCAAACGTTATTCAATATCTAGATCATAAACGGTTATTTTTCAACAATATCGAGTGCTTGATACCTAAATAATATGTCAAATGAAGATTGTAGACTTGCGAACGTAGTCTAATATTTGCAATAAGTTTTCTAAAATGAATGTAATTACCTAAAAACCTACTCCACAATTTCAATCAAAAAATGTCCTTTAGATATAATGATATTGCTTTGAATTGAAGGTTCTGAAATCAATTGACAGTTCCCAGGTAGGGTATTACAGCTGCAATTGATGTGAAAATAATTGCGAATACGAATTCATAGGTTTCCTTAATCTTCACACAACACATTATATAAAGTTAATTTCCTATTTAATTGCGGCCATGTCACGCTGAAAAAATTGAATAATTTACCATATCCATAATATTATATCACATGGCATCCGCTTCACCGCTTGATAAAATCGAAACAGAATGAATTCTCAACATTTACAGAGGTCATCGCATTGAGTATAAACAGAAACGCATAGAATAATACTAGCTGATTTTTCGAGAATTAATTATCTTCAAGCATCCATGTAGAGAAACACACCAAATAGATTTTTCGGGTATATCAATCGAAATAATATTCATAATGGAAGTAGACGTTATTCAAAATTGAAACATCCTGTATTCTTTGGATTTCTGGATCTTTTTTTTTCAAATGAAATTGACATGAGCCTCAGATAATTTTGTTCTATCATGAGAGAAACTCCACAATTTCCTTAACTTTTCAGGATTCTAAAGAAAAGGGAGTGATGGTTGGTCTATATAGCAAGTTCAAAACAAATCGGTCCTAATTTGTTTTGAAAAAAAGTGTTAACTTTCTGACGCACAGAGTAAAGTGAAATACTTGAGAGAATGCTTCGTGTGAGGCTATTCTAATCGTCAATCGCCTAACGAACACTGTCTGAGGAGAGGTCTGAGATATTGAAAACTGTCTTCTCAAATTTTGGCGGAGTCAATTTTCTACACTTACATCCAGTTCTCTGGTTAGGTTCATAATATTCTCTGGTTAGGTTCATAATATCAAATAAGAGTATATACCTCAAATATCTAGTGAGGAAAAGTTCGAGACATATACCAGGTGCGTCAATACCTTCTTGGTAAGAAATGCAACTAAATTCCATCAAATATCTAGTTCTAAGTTCGGAC